TAAAAATTTAAATTAACAATATATTGATATATAAGATATTGTATATGACCAATTTAAACAAGTAAATAAATTTAAATGTATTGAGCAAATCTTTTAGTTAACGATATATTGTATATACGATATTTAATAACAAAATCCAAAAATATTTATATTATTTCGTATACAAGTTTTATTTAATATCATAATTATTTATTATTTTCGTAATTCTTACAGAATTATCGTTAACTTACTTTAACTAGATTAGCATTAACTCTTAGAAATTAAAAAAAAAATCTTATTCTAATTGCAATATACTCACATAATATTCCTTATTCCATAAAGTTACATATTTTATCAAAAATTTAAAATATTCTAACCTACATTTGTGTAACCTAAATCCGCCATATCACTTATCTATTATAAATATATGATCCGTTAACCACGATATTCATCAGACCTACAGATACAAGAAAAAATGGCGAATAATATGCAAATAACTTTCTTGAACGATATCAAACTACGCAAGACGGCATGTCGCATCCAACTAAAGATCACTCATACATGGAAAGATTTCATGAATGTCGTTGGAGAACCTATGGAACTAATTATATATGATGTTAATGTAAGTTTAGTATTTATATAGATTTGTGATTTCTATATATTGATTTTGTAATTTATATCTAATAATTTAGACGTTTTCAGTTTAAATTAAAATATCTGATCATTCCGAATTTTTTAAAATTTAGTTATCTATTTGATTATTGGTTCAGGGTAAAAAATCGCGGGTCAAACTCTCATATAAAAGTCATTTAGAAGAATTTATTTAATTTCGAAAATAAACTCGCGCTTTCTAAGCACGGTCAAAATCTAGTAACATACTTAATAATGTTGATATACAAAGGTCTGGGCAAAAAAACCGGAACCGAAGAACCGAACCGAAATATCCAAAACCAGAACTGAACCGAAACCCTCAAAATATCCAAACGATTTTATTTATATATCCGAACTAACCGAACATGATCCGAACCAATAACCAAACGGATATCCGAATATTTAATAATATTAATTTTATATACCTATAACATAACTAAATATATGATATTAATTTAAAAATCTATTAAAAGTGTCCGAAAATAATTGAAGATAACTGAATAATTATAAAGTATGAAAATTCTCGCAAATAGTCATTTTTAAATTTTTATCATAAAAATAGATCTCAAAAACTAAAATGACCTAAATAAGTTTTTTTTTATTTTGCAAATTTTAAGTTTTTTTTTTAATTTGAAATTATATCCCCAAAACTCCACGCTTTAACTCTATACAAAAAGGTCTAGAAATTAGTTAACCCAAAGGGTATAAGTGTATATTTACTTTCTTTTAATAAAATAAGTGTATACTTACTTATTTTTAATAAAACATTTAAGTCTATTTTGGTCATTTTTTTGTAAGGTCTATATTTGTGATAAAACTTTTTTTAAGGTATATCCTAGGAATTTTTTCTATCAAGTATCTAAAGTACGGATAATTTTATCCGAAATATCCAACGTAATCTAGAATATTCAAAATTTGTATCTAAATCGTTCTAATTATTTGATATTTTATCTTAAATAACCGATAATTTACCTGAACTATCCGAACTTGAACCGAAACCAAGTGGGAACCGAATTTTTCAGGTATTTTCTTATTCCTGGTTTTACTATCCGAACCGAACTAAACCCGAAACTATCCAAACAAAACCAAACCAAAAATATGTCAAGTAGTAAATGGATTCTCTAGTTCCTTATCCAAATTACGCAAAACCTAAAATACCCGAATCGAACCTTACTCAAAATGCCCATGCCTATATACAAATATGTTTTTTGAAAAAGTTGTGTTGACAAGAAGTCGTTGTTTATATATATATATATAAATAACCAGAAAGTACTAAATTACCACAACTGAAATGCAAAAAAAGACATGAGTTGTTTGGCAAAAAAAAAGGTTTTAATTTTTTTCTTTCTAGAAAATAGGGGTTTGCATCGATACTGACTGAGAGATAATAAAATTATTCCATGCAACCGTTCCTTGTGTTCGTTTGGCTTTGGAGACTTCCGGCGCTGTAGGTGATTGTGCAGATGGATTTAGAGCGATTTTCACAGGTTTATGTTCTAATCCTATCATCTTCAGCATCTGAGCGTTTACCGGCAAAGGGGTGATTATAGATTCTGAGGCGTTCACTAGATGCTAGCTACTCCGGAGATTGCACGGATATTNCGATCTTGTAATCACTTTCTGAATTCCCGTTTAACGGGTGGATTAATATATTTCAGTTTTTTTTAAAAAAAAAAAAAAAAAAAAAAAAAAAAAAAAAAAAAAAAATTATTCCATGCAGTTTAAGAGGCTTGTTTTCTCTGAACGTTACATAAACAAATTAATACTCCCCTTGTTTTTAAGTAAGTGTTATTTTGACTCTTTACACATAAATTAAGAAAATTGTATAATAGACTAATATATCTCTATTTAATGTATGTTTAATTAAATGAAAATAATTTAAGTAAAATACAATTTGTTATTCAAAAGGGTAAAAAATAGATTTAATGTACAAAATTACATTGGGATTGTAGAATAACACTTTTTTGAAATAAAATTAAACGGCTAAAGTGACACTTATTTAGAAACAGAGGGAGTAGTAAAATCATACATGATTATCAATTATCACCACTAATACGAATAATTGACCAATTAATTTAAATTTAATGGTGTCATCATTACTATAAGTGCTTTCTCGTGATTAGCAGATTTAGTGTATTAATTACAAATCTCCAGGCTAAAAGCATTGTAAGTTGTAATTCGTAACGTGTTCTCTTCCATGCAGTTTCCAATGTACGCGGTATACCCTTACATTTTTTTTTTTATAATTATTATTATAGTATCCTATGATTTTCTTTGTTGTTGAATTTTTATTTACGAGATTATAATATAAAATATTTTTTTCATCCATTGTTCTATATATATGGAGCACTCTGGATGAACTGAATTTCACAATTGAAATGTTGATTGTTGGATGTTGATATAGTTACATGATTCTTTTTGGAACAGAAAAAATAACATAAAAGTGAGAGAGTCAAATGATATGAATCAAATGATATAAGGTTGTCTTCTCTCTTTTTTTTTTCCTCATTGAATCTAAAATCATTAACATTTACTCATTTCCTTTTATATTAAGTGTCACAATAATATTTTTTCCGTTACAAAATAAATGTTATTTTCGATTTTCCGTATTAAATTTTATTATTTAATTTATTTTCTATTGATTAAAATAATTAAATGTATAAATAATTGTGTTTTTGTATAAAAATCTACAAAGTTAATTATTTTTTTAATTCATGTGCGCTAAACTAAAGTGACGCTTATAATAAAGCATAGAGAATAATCACTTAATACTAGTATCTTCTTCTTTTTAATAGTTATCTTTTTTGTCAAGAATAATATCTTTACAAATATATAAGTTATTATCGTACAAATCTTCTCTATTAAAAGAGAAGTACCAAATTTATCTACTATTTATGAGTCATATTGGACTATGTCATTAGTTATTAATTTAACATATTTGTTACATTAACCAATCAAATATATATTATTTGCAAAATATCTTAATAATTAATAAGGATATCAAGAATAAATAAATTAAAATATAACAAAATCTGTTGAAAAATCTAACAAGATCTTACCAAAAAATTTAAATATTTTTTATAAAATAACTATTTCTTTATTTGTTGTTAGATATAATCTATACTATTAAAAGAGAAGGAGTCTAAATAAATCTACTTAAAAAAGTTGTTTGGACCCTTTCATTATACTAACATTTTTTTTATCTTTCCTTATATTTCTCTAACAATATTGTACAATAACATTATATCATATAACTTACCTTATATTTCTCTAACAATAAATTAGTCAATATTCTTATTTATTATACATTACTNGGTCTCGGTTATGATCCATACTAGAATCGATTCCTGCGGGTCTTTAAAGATAGCCAGTAAGTACTTTATCATGGATCCTAGCCGAACCTATATTTTCGGGTCGGTTTGGTCGTGTTTTTCGATCCGGATAAAATGTCAAGACCTAGAGAGAGTTACATTAAAAACTTACATATAAAATCTCAAATAAACTAATTTATAATTTACATAATTTTTCAAAAAAATCTATTTTATATCTTAAGATTTGTAGCCTAATAATGTACATCCTTTCTAAAATAGTAAATCATATCAAAATTTGTTTATAATCTAACAAAAAAAACCCGCGCTTTTGAAGCGCGGGTCAAAATCTAGTTATAATTAAAACTAAAATAAAAATCATATATTTAAAAAAATAGTTATACATTTATACAATGAAAAATATACCCGCACGGATGTGCGGGTGAAACTCTAGTCAATTTTAAATCAATATATAGATTTTTATGTTTTATTTTCTATTTATTTCTGCATCATTTGTTTTTGCATGATATCAAAATATTAAATCCACTTAATTCGTTCTTTTTTAAATTATTTTTTTCATCCTAATTATTCAGTATATCTTTAACAAATCACTGTTGATATGGTCAAATAAAAGTAAGGTAGAGAAAAACTAGCATATCAAAGTAGTCAACATAGTCAGTAAACCACAAACTATTTTAATTTAAAAGAAAAGACAAACAATAAAATAAACAGAATTAAAGAAAAAAAAATAAAAGACTTTTTTTTTCTCTTTAATAACTTTTTTGAATGCAAACAAAACAGAAGCAAAGAACTGTAGTGTAGTTACTTTCTTTTATCTTCTTCTCCAAAACGAAGAAGAGAGAGAGAGAGAGAGAGGGAGATGGAGGTGATGTCCGTTACTTTATTAAAAGCAAAGGGATAATCGATTTTACGATACTTACAACGTATGTTTTTACGGACCAAAAAGTGAGTCATTAAGAGAGAGAGAGAGAGATACGTAGACCAAAAGTGTTTGTTGGGGTCAAATAGTGACCCCCTTTTGTTGTTTTGGTTGGCCTTTTGTTGGATTTGGTTTGGACTAATCTAAATCCCAACACGAGAAAATATCCTCATCTTCCCGCTTCTCTCTCCTTCTTTGAATCTCTCATTCTCCATCTTCTTCTTCAACCCTGAGCAGAGAGTAGAGAGAGATATATATAGAAGTGAAGTTGATGCGAGATTGATTGTTTTAGAAAAAATGGATACACCACAAAGAAATGTAACCCAGATCGGGACTCCTGTTGCTAAACTCAAAGTCGAGGTCTTTTTTCTCCTAACACTCATCATTTCTTCTTGTTTCTGTTTACTTCCTCTGTTTTTGTCTCTCTGTGATGGATGCATTTTTGTTTATTTCAGGAAAGTGTTTTTTTTTCTTTCTAAATCTGTGCAATACCCATTTTTCAATTAGATTCAATATAACTTCATGAAATTGATTTCAATAATCCAAACTTTCCATTTTGAGTTATGTCTTTTTTTGGAATTTCAAGAGGTTTAACCATGGCAACAGGCTAATTGATTTTATAGATCTTTTTTACTTTTCCTTCTCTGACCGTTTTTTATAATTGAGTTGAATTACCATTTGATTGATCAAAGTTGTTTTTGTTGTTGTGTGGGTGGGGAATGCAGAACTCTCCAGTGTTCAATTACATAAACAGTTTGTCTCCAATCACAACTTCCAAAACAATCTCCACTGCTCAGACGTTTAGCTCTCTCAATTTCACTTCTCCTCCTCCTGTTTTCAATACCCCTCACGTGGCTTCTCGTTTCAGAAGGTTCACTCTCCTCTCCTTACTTCAAAGATTAATCTCTTCTTATTTAAGAGTGTTTTCCTTTGCAGTCATAGTAACCCCTCTGATCCTTCCAAAGTTGAGCCTGCTTCCACTGAAGAAGAAGTAGTAGAAGAAGCTATACTTGAAAAGGAACCGCCACAAACCCTCAAGAATGACTCCACTACTAGTAATACTCCTAGAGTCATCAGTGATGGTTCTTCTGAAACGGATCTGCAGAAGATGTGTGATGACAATGTTAAACGGAAGAGTGATACTCCAGATTGGGAAACTCTGATCTCTGATTCTTCTGACATGTTGATTTATGGCTCACCTAATGATTCAGAGGCTTTTAGATGCTTCTTGCAGCGTTCATCAGACTCCAAAACACGTCTATGTGGCGCTACAAAGCCTGTAGTAGAACCTGTTTCCACAAGCAATGAACCTGAGTCCTCTGATGTAAGTAGAAGCTTTACTTCTTGATTTAACCTCTTTGTCTCTGAAATGATCTCTTATGTGTGTGTGATAGGCTCTTTCGATCTTGCACCGTGGAGTGAGAAGACGCTGTCTGGACTTTGAGATGCCGGGAAATAATAAGCAAACACCGAGATGTGTAGTACCTAGCATTGGTCTGCATCTTAACGCCATTGCAATGTCTTCTAAGGACAACAACAATGTTAGTAAAGAGTACTCATTTTCCGGAAACATTAAAGTTGGGTTGCAAAGTTCCATCACTCCGGTTCTTCTCTCGGACAACACTGTCAGAGAAAATGAAACCAAGGAAGATGCAGGTGATGGTGTAGAAGAGGCTCCACTGTCTTTAGCTTTGGTAGAAGTGAATCAAAGCAGCCCCAAGAAGAAGAGGCAAGTTGTTTCCTGAGAGACTTGCACAAATATATTATAGTAAAATTCATATTCATTTCTTAACAACCTATGTGCAGGCGCAAGTCTGAACAAACAGGAGAAGGAGAGTCATCATGTAAACGGTGCAACTGCAAAAAATCAAAGTGTTTGAAGCTGTAAGCTAAAATTCTCTCTTTAGATCTTTTTAGCTTTTGCTTAAATCATTTTTTTTTGTTGAGTGTTTTTTATGTTTCTTTCTGCAGTTACTGTGAATGCTTTGCTGCTGGAGTTTATTGCATAGAGCCATGTTCATGCATAGACTGCTTCAACAAACCTATTCATGAAGACACTGTCTTAGCTACTCGCAAACAGATTGAATCCAGAAATCCCCTTGCATTTGCTCCTAAAGTCATTAGAAACTCTGATTCTATCATTGAAGTTGGAGAAGATGCAAGCAAAACTCCTGCTTCAGCGCGGCACAAAAGAGGCTGTAACTGCAAGAAATCAAATTGTCTGAAGAAGTATTGTGAATGCTATCAGGTATCTTTAACCTCCATGACATCTGTGTAAGATTCTTATTCTTTTGTCTGATTCTCATACATTTGTTTCTTGAATGTCCCTATAGAGTGGAGTTGGTTGTTCCATCAATTGTAGATGTGAAGGATGTAAGAATGCATTTGGCAGAAAAGATGGTTAGTGTTTCTGTGCCATCTTTCTCATATATATATAATCTCAAGTCTCTTGGTCTTTTGATTTGACATGATTACAAGTTTTACAAACTCTGCAGGGTCTTCATTTGCTGGTATGGATACCGAACAAGATCAAGAAAATGAAACATCTGACAGAAGCAGAACAACCATACCACTTCCACCTTCAACACCAATGCCATTAAGGTAAAAAAAAACAATCTAAATGTGTTAGCCATTTTATATAAACCAACAAACTTTGGCTCATCTATTAACCTTTGTTACCTATATGCAGACAACCATTGGCTCAACTTCCCATCTCATCCAACAACATGCTGCTTTCTCAACATCTCCATGGAGCTTCTGGATCTTCTTCCTTGTACAGTAGTCAGTCTTTCAGAAAACAAGACATGGGTTTGTTTTCTCACTCAAGGATTGAGACAATTGCGGAGGAAAGAGCAGAGGATATTGAGAATCTTATACAGTCTCCTGTAACCAACATCAATGCTGTATCTCCAAACAGCAAAAGGGTTTCTCTGCCACATATGGATTCAGCAGAGACGTCTCCTTGGAGAAGAAATGGTGGAAGGAAGCTCTTATTGTCTTCAATTCCAACTTTTCCTTCACTCACTCCACACCACTAAAAAAATTCATTTAATCTTTGAATATTTGTTGATGTTGGTATACTACCACAACAGTTTTTGTTTGAGTTTGTGTTTCCCAGTGGTTGTGTGTAATAAGAATGCTAGTCAACATAAGCAACCTTTCTTGTGTAATATATCCACATTGTATCCATTTTTTTGAAATATTTAGTCTAGGGGCCACAAGCTGAGTTTTCGATTTCCTTAACACATTGAATATATAAACACTTTCTCCTAACAAATTGACCAAAATAACCTTTAACTAATGAGATGGTTTCTTTTTTATTTTCGTTAGCTTCTCTAAACACAATATGCAATTCTCAAAAACACTTATTTTCCACATCTCTATTTAATTATTCTCTATCAACCACAAAGAGAACAAAAATCCTAAAAAAACCTAGAAAAACAAATCAAATCTTTGAAAGTTCAGTGGTATTAATCTTCAGTTTCTTCCACTTCTTCCTTTGCTTTGGTTTTTTCCCCTTCTCGGCGATCTACAAAATTGTCTCTTTTCTAACGCCGTCGGTCCTCCGGCTAGAAAATGCGACACTCACCACCTCGTTTCTCTCACATCCACCTCTTATGGCTCTCTCCTCCTTATCAGATCCCAAAACTCTTCAGATTAATAGACACTTCCTGATATCTCAATTTCTTGTCAGATCTATCTTTATCTAGGTGGATACCACATTAGAGGTAGTGATGGTTGTGGACAAGGTAGTGATGGTTGTGGACGTGGTGGTTGTGGATAAAATAGTGGTGGTTGTGGACGAGACTGTGGTGGATACGAATTTGAAAGAAGTGAGGATAGATACAGAGATAAATTGGTTATTCATGTAGTTGTTGTTCATGGCTTTTATGTCCACCATTCTCCTATTTAGAGATAAACATCAGTTTCTTGTGAATTTGTGTATTATATTGGTTAGTTTTACTGAACTATTTTCTGTAAAATCTCTTTTAGTGACCAGATTAATCTGCATAGTAATAAAGTTTTGGATACATCTCATAGTTATCTGCAACAAAGAGTTCAATATCTCCTGGAAATGATAGTAAACCGCTAGTTGCATCTACCATCCAACGTTAATTATAAAAAAATTATCTACAATTTTGCCATCCACAATGCATATGTCCATACTTAATTCGTACACAACAAATTTGTCCACAAACTTCTATCCACTACTCTAGTGTCCACGACATATTTGTGAATAACTACTTTTAAAAACAGAGTTTCAGAGAAACAAAGTCTAAAAATAAATGCTTTTAAAAATAGAGTTTCGTAGAAACAAACCCTATAAAAATAGATATTTCTACAAACAGAACTGCTAAAAAAAAAAAAAATTGTTTGAAGATTTTTATCTTTATCAATCTTCTACTTCAGTAGATCTTGACTCATCCCTACTTTCATCACCAACATTTTTTTCTTAGTTGCACCATCGGCCAAGAAACCTCGATGAATACAACTTTCTCCAGCCTACCGTTAGATCTTTTGTTTTTAATCAAATCCAACAAGCAAAAACGATTCCCCTTATCCTATATACCTATTTTTTTTTTAAAGTTAGACCATTTATCATTAATTACAACTGAAAAGTAACTTAGTTACAATTCTCTTTTAACAAACTCTCTTCTTTAATTGACAAGAAAATGTGAAGAAATGTGTGTCAATTTCAAATTGTGTCTCTCAAAGAAAACTAAAGACACAATGTGTTTCTTAACGTAACTCACTCTATTTTTTGCAACAACTCAAAGAATATATGTGGAGGGCTAAAGCACTAAAAATACACACATGTTGGGATGTTCGTTATTCTTGTGTATAAGAGAGCTTTTAGACTTTAAGTAGACGTCTATCTACTCTTGGTAGCGCTGGAAATAAAAAAAGGTAGACTTTAGCAATTGACTGGTCTTAGATAACTGATAACTCTAATAAAACCAGGGAATCACCACATTATTAAAGAAAGAACATGATCTCAAAACAATGAAATCAATAAAATATACAGGTTTTCAGTTTTCTATTCCTACTTTCTGACTTCACTATTCAGCCATCTTAATCTTCATTTTCTTTATCATATATTATTAGAAATTAAAGTTTGGAAGTGTAAACGAATAACCTTAAAAAAACAAATTTATTCGACAAACAGAATGCATAGATTTTTTTTCAGATTTCTTATTATGACCACTTGTATGCAATCAGCTATATTACTATGATATATTGTGATATTGGTTCATGTACTATATATTACTATATTTTATTCGTCAGACCAGCTGATTTCTTTTCATGTATCATCTAGTGGAATTAAACACACAGTTTAATAGAATATTTTTTGCACATTTTTTAGATAAGCATTATTAACTAATTACTACTCCAACTAAATACATTTCAACGAATATAAAAATAATCTGCAGAATATAATAAATTATATTACATCAAAAATTTAATAAATTTTACACTGAAAAGCAAAAATGAAAGTTGAACCAACTTTTTTTTCTACAATGTCATATTAAAAATAATTAAGAAATTACAAAAAAATAGAACAATAATTTTAAAAAAAAAAATACAACGAAAGGAATGTGGTATGAAATTCATTGGTCAAATATTAAAAAAGTTTGACTTGGACTTCTTTCTTTTTTCTACTGTAGTCTTCCCTCTTGACACTGTTTGGGGACCGGCGTCCCCGGCGAGGACAATACAATGTTTCTCTTTGTTCGAAATTGCACCAACCCTAGCTTCACTTGTCCATGTGTATGTTAATATTTCGCTCGTAAAGATGGAGAACAGTTCTCAGAAGAAGAAGAAGTTTTCTACTTCCCAAATCGAAACCCCAACTCCAAAATCCAAATTTGAGGTCTTCAAAGCTTAATCATTTCGCTCGTTTCTCTACTCCATTTTGTTGTTTCGAGGAATATAGTTTCTGGGTTTAGCTTAATTTTCTTAAAGTATTGTGTTTTTTTTTTACAAACATTGTTGTTTGTTGTTGTTGTTGTGGTCTACAAATTTTCTCTTGTGTGTTAGCTTTGATTGTGAAAGTAAATTTGGTAATAATGCAGGACTCTCCAGTGTTCAACTTCATTAACAATCTCTCTCCCATTGAGTCTGTCAGAACAATCTCCACTGCTCACACCTTTAACTCTCTCAGTTTCACATCTCCTCCTGTTTTCACCTCTCCTCACCCCACTCTCCACAGAGATTCCAGATTCTTCAGATGGTACCAAAGACTCTTTCCTTTATGGCAACCCTTCTTCTTGTTGTTTCAATAGATAATGGTTTTGTATTGTTGTAGTTGTTGTTTTTTTTTCTTTTCCTGTTGCAGTCATAACTCTGTTGATCGTTTTAAGGCGTTGGAATCTCTAGATGTATCTATTTCTAAAGAAGTAGCTGTAGCTGATGTAGATCTAAACAAAGATGCTACTCTGGAGGAAGAAGAAGAAGAAGAAACGTCTAGTGAGCTGCCACAGATCCTCAAGTCCCACAGCCAAAATCCTGAACACGGTGAAGGAGACAATGATTCTTCTTCCCAGGATGTACGAGTGAGATTCCTGAAGATTCTTGATGCTCCGGAAGAGAATGACACTTCTGGTCGTAGACGTTTGATGTCAGATTCAGCTGAGCTCTTAGTATTTCGATCTCCCAATGACTCAGAGGCTTTTCAATGCCTTGTGGATACAATATCTAGCTCGGAAAGACGTTTCTGCGCTGGTGTCAAGTCAACGGAGCAGCATGATGTCACCAAAGATGTTCAAGCCAAGGGTTCCAGCAATGATAGTGAGCCTTTGGTTGTGGTTCCCAATCAGGTGAACACAGTAATACATGTCAAAGTTAACTTGCCTTTTGCACTCTTGAGTGTGGATTTTAGATTATCTTTGGGCTCTTGATTCATCAAGTGCTTTATGTTGTGTTTGTTTGTGGTAGCCTGTCCCTAGCTTGCATCGTGGTAGCATGCGAAGACGTTGTTTAGACTTTGAGGTGCCTGGGAAGCGGAAGAAGGATATAGCTGATGTTCAGCAAACTGTGTGTGACAATAAGGCGGAATCATCCTCCAAATACGTTGCTCCCGGTATTGGTCTTCATCTAAACGCCATTGCATTGGCGTCAAGGGATAGTAAGATCAATGTCATACATGAGTGTTCACCACCTGGAGAGATTCAAACGAGTATCTCAGGCTCTAACACTCCGGTTCGCTCCCAAGACACCGTGCGAGAAACTTTGGACCAAGGAGAAACTGAGCCTGGGGAAGGGTCAGCTGTAGAAGAAGCTCCCAAAGAATTGTTATTCGAAGAGTTGAATCCAGGCAGCCTTAGAAAGAAGCAAGTGGTTTTCTAAAAAACAGATTTGTATATTGACTTTTCTTTTGTTTTCTGACCTGTTGGCATTAATGCGCAGGCCTAGGTTTGAACAAGCTGGCGAGGGCGATTCTTGTAAGAGATGCAACTGCAAAAAGTCCAAGTGTTTGAAGCTGTAAGCTTTACTACTTAAAGCTGTAAACTCAAACTGGCTTTAAGTAGTTATAACTATTGTTCGAGTCTCTTCTCTCTGTGCAGTTACTGTGAATGCTTTGCTGCTGGAGTTTATTGCATAGAGCCATGTTCATGTGTAGATTGCTTCAACAAACCAATCCATGAAGACACTGTCTTGGCTACTCGCAAACAGATTGAATCCAGAAACCCACTTGCATTTGCTCCTAAAGTCATTAGAAACTCGGATTTCATCATGGACACTAGTAGTGTAAGCGCTCTCTATTCCATCATCTCTCTCTATCTCTGTCCAGTATTCATCTGAGGGTTGAAGTTGTAATTTTGCGCAGGATGATGTAAGTAAAACTCCAGCTTCTGCACGACACAAACGAGGCTGTAACTGCAAGAAATCAAATTGTCTCAAGAAATACTGTGAATGCTTCCAGGTATTTCTTTAATCATCTATTCATTACAATACTCCATATTCATCTGTGTAGGTTATCTTCCATGGTTTGAGTCAGATACTTTGTTCTTGATGATCTTATAGAGTGGAGTTGGCTGTTCCGTAAACTGTAGATGCGAAGGCTGTAAGAATGCATTCGGCAGAAAAGATGGTTAGCTTCTTCTTCAGCTCCATTTTTTCTGTAAAAGTTGTTATCCCAAAGTTTGATGTTTAACATGATTACAAACTCAGCCCATTTACTTGCTATCATGGAGAGCAAACAAGAGGAGGATCACGAGGCATATGAGAAAAGAACAGCAAAAGTCCAAGAAAATAAAGAAGCCGGGCAGAACCTAAGTTCTGATCAACCTTCCACACCACTGCCACCGTACAGGTAATTCGATCAAAGTTTCAAACAACACACACACAAACAAGAAAGTTCCTGATTTTCATTTTTTTCATTTTTTGCAGGCATTTGGTGGTTCATCAGCCATTTTTGTCTAAGAACAGGCTGCCTCCGACACATTTTTTTCTTGGCGCTGGTTCTTCTTCTTTTAAAAAGCCAGACAGTGATTTAAAGAATGCGAAGAAGCCTCATAAAACTGTGACCGAAGAGAAAAGAGAGATTATGCCTGAGATTCTTAGCAATACCCCTATAACTACCATCAAAGCCATCTCTCCCAACAGCAAGAGAGTCTCTCCTCCTCAGCTCGGCTCCTCGGAATCAGGCTCAATCCTAGTGAAGAAAAGTAATGGCCGGAAGCTGATACTACGGTCTATTCCAGCTTTTCCTTCTCTTAACCCAAACCAGTGAAATAAAAGCCATTTGATCAAGCCAAGAAAGCCAACTATTTGTATCTTTGTAAGGGGTTCTAAATGATTTCAAGCCAATCACTGTTTCATAACATAAGCAACATGTCATTGTATCTTTTAGCAGGTAATGTAATATCACATTCTAGTTTATAAAGAGCATCCAGAAATTGAAAAATAGCATATAGTTAAGCAGAAGCTACAAGGTTACTAATTTGCTCTACTATTTCAGAAGCCTTGCCACAAAGATCTTCTACAGTCAGTTCGATGATCAAACTAGATGATGTTACGTTGTTATCCAGCCTAGTCTTCCTTGGCCGAAGATCTCATGCAGCCACAGAAACGGTTTTTCTTCTTTCTCGCTGTCCTTTTCCCACCCTTGTGGATAATGTCTCTCAAGAGTATCACTGTCCTACTCTCAGAGAACTTTGTCTTTCCTTTACTTTTGGCTGCTCCGTCTTCAAGCTTCAGCACTGTTCGCTCAATGCTCTGCATTTCTTGCTGCATCTGCTCTATCTTCTCGGACCCAATTCTTGACTTCTCCGAAACCACCTTTCTGTAGATATCTCTGGCGTCTCCGGTCTCCTCAATTTCCTTGGAAAGAATCTCGTTTGTGTTTGCAAGCTGAAGGATGGCTTCTTCTATTTCTTTCAGCTGTTTCCTCACTCTAGCAAAATCAGGGTTAGTGAACTTGCCTTGTTTCTCGTTTAGCTCCAGCTTGCTTTTCAGGTCTCGTAGATTGACTCTAAGGCTTGCCAGTCTTCTAGAGTCAGATAAAAGCCTCTCCATGATCTTTCCATTGTCTTCAATGTTTCTAGATAACTCTAACTTGTCAACAACTTTCTCAGATTCAATAGATGGATTCCTGCTTCTGCGATGAAGACGGGGAATCATAGGCCTTTTTGAGATTTTATTGTTGATCAGAGACTTGATGGTAGACTCTGGTTCAGCAGATTCTTCCCATAACTCAAGCATCTGGTCACTGGAGCCACGACTACCTCTCCGGCTCCTTCCATAGAACGGAGAGTTTGCCACATGATCAAGGGGAATGTCTTTCATCAACGAACCATTTCTAGCCTCAGTCATTGCAGGTGATCTAGGCTGGTGTCTGATTTCACCAGAGAATTTGTCTTCAAGTTCAATCTCTTCAAACAGCTTACGGTCTCTGCTTCTGTGGGAAGAGCTTCGTCTTCTCTGCTTCCCAAGCCTCTTCTTTTCCCCAACAACTGCTTGCTCGATGATTTTAATTCTTTTCTTCATGTCCTGCAATAGCAAAATTCCATTGTCTTGGTTGGTACTGCTACGCCCTTTAGGTTCTTGAGAGACTACCGCTTCTGGATACTCATCATCCTGAGGAAAATGGAAGAGTTTAATTAATGAGGAATATTAAAGGCTTATATGCCACTAGAGGTAACAGGTCATCTAGAAGGAGAACGAATATGTTTACCTCTCTGCAACGGTCAGATAGCGTAGGGAGTTTCATCAACAACAGGGAATTTTGCTCTAGGGATTTTACATCTTCTGCTAGAGATGCTACCACAGGATCATAGGCAGACAATTGAGTCTTAAGCTCAGTCACTTCATATTCCAAGAATCCAACTGTTTCTTTTATCTGTCTTATCTCTGTGGTCTTTGTAACAGCTTCTTCTTTGAGGCTTTCACAAACTCCCGTGAGTTCCTTTACTTTGTTCTCAAGCAAGACTTCACGGACAGCTGAGATCTGTAGATCAAAGTAGAACGATGTTGCTTCCGCATCCCAAAGTCCAAACTCGTTGCTTTTCTCCTGCAGCTCTGAACTCAGGAACTCTTCTCGAACTCGATGTTCTTGGATTTCCTTGTGTAGCAACTCTACCTCCGACTCCAAATTCTCCTTCAAATTGCTAAGCTTTTTAATCTCTTCATCTTGTCTTCCACTAAAGTCAGACAGTTCAAAGATACGCCTCTCTAAATTTATCGTCAGCTGTCTTGATTCTTTACAGTTTTTCTTCAGCTCTTCAACTGCTTGGCACAGTTCCGCATTTTCATTATGTGTAGTCTTGAGCATGTCTTCTGCTTCTAGTAGGTCCATCGCCTTCTGTCTCAAAATTTCTTCTTTATCTGAAATTTGATGTTCTAAGAGATCGTTTAGCTCAATGGCTTCTTCGAGACTCTCCTCTAACTTTTCAAGCTCGCTGTTAAGCTCCTGACTGCCCGACTCTTTCCCTCTTAACTTCTCTTCCAGTGTCTCAACCTTCTGCTTCAGTCCCCTATTAACATTTTGTAAGCTTCTTAAGTTTTCAGCAAAAGCTTCAACCTGTTCAGCCTTTTCAAACCCAAAAGATTTGTAAACTACAGACATGTTGCTCAAGGAGACAGTTTCCTGAAGAATTGCATCGTTCTCTTCCTCAAGTATAGACATTTCACCTTTAAGCTCTGAGAATGTCAGATCCAAAGTTTTGTTTTTGTCGAGAGCAGTTGAGTATTCTTGATGCAAAGCCATGTATGACACATGCAAACTCTCAAACTTCAAATGCTCAGTTTGTAGTTCAGCTCTTAGATCTAGCTCCCGCTTCTCTCTGTCAATCAGTTCTGATTTCAACTGCCGGTTCATCTCCAATAGCTCGACCCTGTCCTTCTTCAGCATTCCATAGTGGTGTACTATCATCTCAAGATCTTTCTCTGCATTTTGTTTCTCTGATTCCACTTTCATGCCATCTAACTGGAATTGTCCAAGTATAGATAAGAGCACAGAGTTCTCAATCACAAGCCGCTGCTTCTCATATTCAGAGCTGGAAAGTGAACTCTTTAGTTCATTAATTTCACCCAAGATGCGTGAAACCGGAACTCGGTCTTTCGCAATCTTCTGGTCAGCTGTCTTACAATCTGCTTCGAGTTGAAGTGCCTTGAACACTTGATAGATTGCACCCCTGCAGTTATCAACCTCATGCAGCAAGAACTCTGTTTCCATCTGTTGTTCAAGATTCTCAGTTTCCAGCTCAGTAATGAGTTTCTCTGAAAATGTTGATGCCTCTGCATATTTCTGGCACTCAATCAGGAGAGAGAAGTTCTTGTGCTCCAAGTCTTCTATAAACTTTTGCAAGATGAAGATCTCGACTTGAGCATTTACTGCTTTGTCAAGCTCTTCTTCAAACTCTTTTTTCCTGGAGCGACATTCTTCTCGAAGAAAGCTCACGTTACTCTGAAGATCTGCCAATCTTGTGTCAGTAGACCTTTCGTAACTAGCACGCTCTTGCTTCTCAGTGGCAAGTGAGACTCTTAACTCTTCCACTTGAACATTTTTGTACTGTTTCTCCCTCTGTAAATCAGCATATTTTCCTTGCAACTCCGTGAACTTCTTCTCCAGAACTCCCAACTTCTCCTTAACACTATTTAACTGAGAGATGAGAGATTCTCTTTCCTTTGTAAGCTCGGCCTTATCGTTTTTGAGCAACTGGAAGAATTCTTCAAAGCATTTTGACTTCTCCCTAGCACACTGAAGCTCAATGTTTGCACCAGAAAGTGATGCCTCCAGTAACGAGTTTTTTTCCAAGAGCTTCTGCATATTCTCAGTCATGATTTGAAGTTGAGAAAACAGGTTAGCTCTCTCGGCATTGAACTCTGATTTCTCTCCTCGTAAAGACTCACATCTTTCTTGCAGATCCTTTGTCTTCTCCCGAGAACCATCCAGTTTGGTGTTTGATTCCAGCAGCAATTTCTCTAGACCAGCATTCTTCCTAAGAATGTTATCCATTTCACGCAGCTTCTCCGTAAGAGCATCTTTATCACTTCTCTGGTGGTTCCACAACTCAGTCAGCTTTGAGTTCTCGTCTTGTAGATTCCTCACAGAGCAGACAAGGGATTCGGGATCCAATCCTGCTAGTTTCACTTGCTCCATTATTGTTTGATACCTTATGTGCAGGCTGTTTATTTCATCCTTCAGACGATGGATCTCTTCTTGAAGAGCAGTGCTTTGGTTAATTTGTCTAGCAACTTCTTCCTCGAGGTTTCCTTTCACCTCTTTCAAGCTAGAAATCTCACATTTCTGAGTCTCTAGGGAGATCATAGCAGAGTCACTTAGTTCGCTTAAGTTTCGGTTTTCTTCTTTTCCTGAGCTGATCTCGTCTTCTAACTTATGATTACGAGTCTCTAGCTCCCTCAACATGTCAACCTTCCTTTGAATTTCAGACGTGAGAACCTTTTGTTCATCTTGGGACTGAGAATGCAAAGTTTTCAAACTTCTAAGGCTGGCTTCGATTTCCAAGAACCGAGAGTGCTCATCTTGGATCACAGCTTGAAACTTCTCAAGATCGTTTTGCTTCTGGATGAGTTCTTGATCCTTCGCTGCTAATTTTTGTGTTAGACCATCTGCTTCTAGCTTTAAAGTTTCATTTGAGCTCTCCAAAACAGTACACTGGTCCTCTACAGTCTTCATCTTTGCAGCCCCAGCCAGAACTTCACTACTCAGCCTTTTGGCATTTTCTTGAGCATGGAAAACTTCTCTCTCTAGCTTAGATATAGTTTCCAAACACTGCTGGTAACGAAGACTCAAACCCTCCTTCACTTCATTTACCTTCAGAAGTTCTTGCTTCAATGCTTTAATCTCATCTTCTGCTTTAACAGATTGATTGCTAAGCATCAGAGCATTCTCCTCGGCCTCTTTAACCTTCTTCTCTAGTGTAGTTATCATCACAAGGCATTGATTGTATCGGGCTAAGCCAGCTTCCTTCTCGGAGAGCAATCTAATTTGCGCTTGCTTAAGACTCTCCGTTTCTGTCTCTGCTTCAGTGGCTCGGTTGGTAAGCCCCGTCATATCTTCTTGTGCATGAGCAAATGATTCCTCCAGATCTGCTATCTTCTTCATGGACTGATTATAACGAAGAAGCGCAGCATCCCTCTCGGCTTCAAGCTTCGCAAGGCCTTCTGCAAGTATCTTACTCTCAATCTCAGCTTTGCTGGCACGTTCATCAAGACCACTAACATCCTTCTGAGCATCTTTAAGGTCTTCTTCTAGTCTGGATACTTTGT